GCTCACTCTCTGGGAATTAGTGGCTTGCTCTTTTTCAAAAACCTTGGATGAGACTAAGACATTGAGTTAGTATCCAATATACACCAGGTAAGGGACCCCTTCACCATTGAGTCCAGTCAGTCTGAAAGTGGGAGAAAGAAGCAAACACTTAACCAATCTATTGACCTGGTTTTGTTTCACAGAGAGAAGCTGAAGCTGAGCTTGACCAATGTTCCTCCTTTACTGATGAAAGGGATTGAACAAGCCTCCTCCAGTAAGTCTGTCACCTGTGGCTTTAGACCAGCAGCTGCACTATCCAATTTTAAGTGGGTGACAGGTGTCCATTATTTTTGAAAGAGAGAGACTTCTAAAAGTAGTATAGAACTCCAGAAAAATAGGAGGTTGTTTGTTGGTCTGATTTACTCACCCTCCGAAGAAGCTCCAGGTTGGGCACAGAAAGATGAAACTTGATTCTCCTGTTAGCAGAGGACACTGGGGGGTGTTCTGCTTCTGCTGGTAGGTGAAGTGTGTATAGGTGCAGTTTTCTGCAGCTAAGAAGTGGTGGCCCTCTCAAAGGTGGGTTATATCCTCCTATGTTGAAGCAGACTCCAGTGGCTCACCATCAATTCCTTCTTCCTGGGATCTTTCTTACAAATTCAAAGAATGAACTCTGCAGACCAGGAAGAGTGAGTGTGATGGTAGGATTTATGAAGAACAGGCATAGAGCCCTTGCAGTGCAAGAGGGGACCTGATAGCAGGCTTTCTCTGCCTGAGGGTGCCAGTCTAGGGGTTTATATTGCCCTTGGGTCACTCTGTTGTGTCCAAGCTAATGCTGGTTAGGCTCTGGAAACATACAAATGCTATTGGTCCCAATTTATGCTAATTAGGGTTTGAAAAATAGTAACACTATTAGTTAGCCCCAAACCCATTCTGGGTTTTCCTCACTTTCGTTTTCTGTATGCTTTGGGGAGCCAGAGGTTCAAGTCATTGACTTGTGCATGCTCTTGGTGTGTCTGAACTGCAGGGCTGTGTGGAGTGTGCTTCTGCAGTGGGCATCATCCATGTGTGCAAGCGGGGCTCTTGCAGGGTAATGGATCAACTTGCCCCAGCTCACCTCAGTGCTGACTGATGCTCCAACTTACGTGGTCCATCACTCTCCTGTTTGCTGGAACTTGTTGTCAGTGACCAGTAGGATGACTGTCTAGCTTGGCATCTGGGGAGTAATGACAACAGGCAGAGTATACCTTGATTGTATTGTTAGTTGAAGTTGCAAAGGGTACCATAACTTCTTTCCCTAGAAACCAAGCTTTGTTCACCTATGCAGGAAGGCCTTGGCCATGCTGAATATTTTTCTGGCCTGACTATCTAACCTCTTCCACAGGATCAGAAAACAGCTATCTAAGAAAAGTGCCATCTCCATGGCCAATTCTAGAAAATACTTTAATGGTTCAGGAGACTGAAGACTCCAAAGCAGCTCTCCTTCTAAATGAGACAGAAGAGAAAGGGCCAACACTCTCCAGGAGGCATTTAAAAAAAACTTTGGGGTGCTAGCATTGTGGCTCAGTGATAAAATGCTTGCCTAGCATATGTGAGGTTCTGAGTTCAATCCCCACTACCACCAAAAAAGAAAAAAGGAAAGGAAAAAAATTGGTTTCTTTGTCTTTGACATCCATGGCTGACCCAATTATGTCACTGTGACATAGAATTGTCTTTGGACACAGATATATTTGAGATGACTCCATCCTTCAGTCTCTTTTGATGATATCACCATTTTGAATCTCCTCAGCTGTCCTTTGTCTGCTGTACCAGGAGCCTCTTCCCTACCTATTCCGCACAGAAGTCCCGGGGTTATCTGGAAGGATACTGTTTGTGCTTGAGCCCACCTTTTCTTTTTTAAAGAGTACATGAGCTTCCTTCCCCAGCTCCTTTTGCAAAAAGTGCCTGTACCACTTCCCCTGTGGTGCAGCAAAACTCCTAGTGAGGCCTCAAATAGATGGTTATATTTAACTTATTCAAGCCTTTTACCTCAAGTAGAGCAGGTGGAGCTGGTTGCACTAAGAACTGGTCACAGTAAAGGCTGCTGGCACGGAAAGCAGCCTGGGCAGGTCACCCTGAGGGCAGTAATGAAAGAGGTGATGGGGTCCTTACCCCAAAGAGTAGCCCAGACTCCACAGCACAAGGCAGCAGCCTTGAGAACATGTCCCTACTAAACTATTTTTATTCACTCTTGACAGTCAACTCCCGTGTTTTATAGCTTTGCCCCAGGTATGCACCTCTCTCCCTCTCCCATCCCAGTACCCACCTTTTGCCTTCCTCCTACATTCCCAGTGCCCTCTCCTTGCCCTCCCTTTCCTGAGGACTATCAGGATCAGTCCTGAGTGACAAGGATCTTTGCCCCTTGTGTTGCAGGATGTGGGGAGGGTGAGATCTCCCCAAGACCCTACCTGAGGAGTGGGCACACCAGATACTAAACACCTACCATGCTGTCTTCAATGCCTCTTCTTGTTTCCCTAGGGTCTGATGACTGACACTTCCTCTCAGATGCTGGGCAGTAGGAATCAGCAGCAGAGCCACATGTTACTCTCCAGAGACCTGGAGATGAGACTCAGAATAGGGCGTGTTTTCTTACATGGGTTGAGTGTCAACCTGTAGCTCACTTCCTAGATTGGCATCAGAGGGGGATATTGGCTGAGGACTCTTCTTTGGGGCTGAGAGGCCTATGGTGCTCAGCCTCCAGGGATGAAGGGGTCTGTGTGAAGGCCCTGGTCTGGGTCAGTTCGAAGGACAACAGAAGGTGTTGGAAAGACAGGAGGATGCCCGTGACGTGGAGGGTCATGGTCGTTCTCACTAAACATCTTTGCTTTCCCATGTGGCTCCTGTAAGAGAAGTTCTTCTGGGACCCACTACCCTTCTCTGGCTCAGGCTTAGGTAACAGATTTTGTGGTCCTGGAGAGGGTTAAAGACTGGATGGCACCCATTGAGGAAGACTCATGACAGTGCAGGAAGATACCAGTGTGCTCCTTTATAGGACCTCGGGTTGTGTGACTCTGCACTCTTAATTTCCTATGAGGTGACCCATGGTGGGACAGATCTCCATTTAGGCCTCATATCCAGTGCTATCACTATGTCCCCTACACCTTGGCTGACAGCTGATTTAGAAGCACCTTATTTAGGGCACAACATAACTTTGGGGCAACTACATGGATCATTTCTTCTTCAAGGGCAGTAGGTGATTTTCCACCAGCTGCAGAAGGGAAATGGGCACTTGCTCAGTCTACATTAGGCATGAGGGGAGACAGAGGGACTAGGGGGTATGTGTAAATATGAATGGGAGGTGTCACCTTTCTTGGTTTCAGACTGAGAATCTGCTGGCCATTTCTGCTCCGTGAGTCCTTCCTCCTGGTCCAGCTCTTTGGTTAGGGTCAAGATATCCATGTGTAGTCCTACAGAAAGCAATACTTCCAAGAATTGGGGGTGTGGTAAATAAAGCCTGCACATGGAGGAGAAGAAGAGATTGTGTGTGGCCTTGGTAGGAAGTGAGATCAAGTCAAGGATACCTATGGTATTTAATGGAGGCATTGATGATGTCTTCCTGGTTCACACCATGGGGTTGTTAAATCAAGACCAATAGCTACCCCACCCAACAGACACCCAGTGCCGAGAATCTGAAGAATGAAGGATAATTTCATGAGTCTGGGGTGGCTTTCCCAAAGTCTTATAGACCTGGGTTCCCACCCTAGCCCACCTTGGTGACAAAGTCCTCTTGGAGCACAGCTCATCAATGTAGAGCAGGAGATTTGGTTCTTGGTACAAGTTGTCCCCTTTTAGATGTCACTCAATTTCATTCTCTGCCAAGTTTCCCATTGACTTCTCCATGGCCAAATGTGGGGCTTTCCTCATGGTGAAGTTGGGAGACCCCAGCAGATGTTCATGATGTCCATATATACCATTATGGCTTCAAGTGAGATCTAGTCAGGCACCTTGGATACCAGTAGCATTAGACTTCTGGTGGGTGAGCCTAAGGGCCAGTCTTTCTGGAGGTGCAACATAAGACAGATGGTAAGAGGGTGGTACATACACAGTGGTTCCAGTTGTGCTCCAGCTATTTGGTGGAGGGAAGTTTTCAAGGGATCTAATCTGGTCCAGGATGGCCCTGCACATTCTGACATCAGGACCCATGAGTAGAGACTCTGCACCAGTGGGACAATGTATGTCATGAGGCAGGACATTTTGAGATACCAATATTTGATATACGTGGGCCACACAGACTCATGTCCTAGGTAGATGGTGTGTTAACTCTTTGCCTAGCCAGGGGGAGAGAAGATAGCACCTTGGACTAGGCTATATCCACTTCAAATCCAAGGGCAGCTGGAATCCCAAATGTTCAGGGGAGAAGTGTCCTATTCTGAAAAAAATGTTCACATGTGTGACAGCAGACTCCATTATCACTTTTTTTGTTGTTTTTAAATCATGAATTCCTATAGGAATGTGTTTAGCTCTCTCTTGCTGCACAATCTCAAAGACTGGAGAATGTGGAAGATTGAGCCTCTGTGGGATTAGAAGTGTCTGACACTGGAATTTATCATCAACTGAAACTTTGGGTCCTCCATCTCTGCAGCCTCAACTCCACAAACCTGACAGGTAAGCAAGACATAAGATTAGTTTTTAAAAATTATTACTCATTGGAGAACCCAAGCTGTAGGTTCATAGAAATGAGGAGCTGGTAGCAAGGATGGGGAGGAGTGCGCGGACCATGGGCTGGGCTGGTCCCAGGAGGGATCAATTCCCAATGCAGAAACAGTTCTAGGTACTCCTGACATTACTTATCACCTGAAGAGAACCATTTGGGCCTTAGTGAACCAGGCACATTCCTTTATATATCCCCCCACCCTTAACTCCAGTCGTCTCATGCCCCTGCCCTGAACCACACAGAAAAGCCAAGCATCAACATCTGGTCAAAGATTTATGTAAGAGAACTCTCTCTTTATGAATGGTGTTGTTAGGACTATATACCATAGAAGAAAGACCAAGGGCACAAGACTCAGGAAAGGTCATGAAAAAGTAGAAGCTATGCTGAAAGTATTGGGTTGCTTACAAAGAGGGCAGTATTTCATTTGTTTGTTTGAATGGTGAGAATTACATGGATTAGGAGGCCAGAGGTGTGTGCTCGGGGCATCTGAGGCACTGGCTTTCCCTGGTCATATTTTTCAAATTCTAAATCTCTTCTGGAACAACAGGGTATAATTGTGGAATCTTTCACAAGCAGGGGTGATCCATATGCTGTAGAAGACTTATTTCCCAGGTGGTTGGCCAACACCAAGGTAGAGATACTTGTACCCTGTGGACAGCCCTCACTGCTCAAGTAGACCCCCTGAGCTTGGCTGGTTACTTACCCACACCCTAACCTGAACCTCTAGGCAGTGGTGGAATAAGAACATTGAGGCCAGACCTTCCAGGACTATTAGAGAGTGTCCAGCCTTCCAGGTAGAGGGAACAAATGCTTGGAGAGCAAGGTGTTCAGTGGTTTTCCCTGTGGTAGCAGATGCCCTTCCTGGCTGGGCATGGGTTACAAGGCCGCCCACAGACAGCTGTGCAACCCATGATCTCTAACACTTAGGCCTAGCCCCAGGTGTCTGACTTACTTTTCTGCCATCTCATAGACCATCTGGTCAAAGAAGTGCATTGACATTCCTGCAGACCCCTCCATAGTCCCTTCTCCAGAGTCATGGTAGGCACCAGTCCAGATAGGGGCCAAAGCACTGGCCTGAGACTCATCTGGATCAGTCACAATCCACAGCCCACACTTCATTGCCAGTTGACCTGACTCAACACACATCCTGCTTTTGCCTAATTCACTTTGACCACCCCATGTGGGCTCCCTGAATCCAGGACATGCTCTCTTACACTAGAGAGAACATCAAGTACTGTACTGGAAACTGACTTCCCCTTGAGTTCTTGATGTTGTTGTGTATTGTGACATGAATGTTTTTGTCTTCCAGAGTCCATGAGTGAATGCCCTAACCTCAATGTGATGGTATTGGGAGATGGTGTCTTCAGTGGTTCTTAGGATTTTAATGAGGTCAGGAGGGTGGAGTTCCCATTATAGTAGTAGTGCTCTTCTAGGAAAAGGAAGGGATGCTAAAGCTCTCTCAGCCATAGGAAGTCGCAGGCAAGGCAACCATTGTCTCAAACATGGATGCGAGCTCTCACGGGATATTAAATCTGGAACCATCTTTCTAGGACTTCCCAGTTTCAGAGCTGTGAAAAATGAATGCCTGGGGTTTCAGCTGACATTCTGAGCAGTGCATATGGCAGCCTGAATTAAGTGAGACAGAGTACAGAGTGCCCTGGGAGCAGGGTTAAAGCCTGAGACAATGATGAACATCTCCACAGACGATCCAAATGGAATGAGTACTCACTCATGAATTCTGCATCACCTTAATATCCTAAACAGAATTCCCCAGAACAATGTGGTTGGGTGCCCAGAGAGATCTGTACTGGTGCCTCCACCCATATCTCCAACACTAGTTGTGATGTTGCCTGCCATGAATAATCAGGTCTATGCTAGAAGATGAAAAAGTACTAAGTGAGGGACAATCATATGGAGTCAGAGAACCAATTCTAAATCCTGGCTCACATTACTTCCACAAACCTCTCTGACCCTGTGTGATGGTGATGCTCATTGGGAACAAAGATTGCTGCACTCACAGGGCTGTGATGGGCACCTGAGATAAGGCACATTTCCTTCCCTGGTGTGAGATGAACACGGCTGGGAATGTAAGTCTCTCAGCTTATCCCTCCACACTCAGGATGTTCCTTCCTGTTCCCCTACATCCCAGCCTCCTTTCTTCATGCCACACTTTTTCTCCTTTTAGAGCTCAAGGAGGAGTTCTGGGTCCCTGGGGGGAACACTCACATGAGGAGGCAAGAAAGTGCTCCCACATCTGGAATCCGAGAAAGGCTCCGGTGGACCAGGATCTTGAAGTGCTTCCAGTGCCAGAAGTTTTCATAGATGCTCTGATGTATGCTGCAGTTATCTGGAGGGTGGCTAGTGTACCCTCCCCATACACTCCCTGTGGCCATTGGTGGTTATTCAATGGGAAGATGATGGAGGCCTTTGGGCAAATGGTGGTGGTGCTGGAGGGTGAAGACCCAGGTGCCCATTCCCCCACTGGCTGAGGCAGGCACAGTGGTTCTCCAGACAGCAGCTGCTGTGAGGAGTGGAGCAGGATGATCCACACCACCTCAGAAGGCCCCTGGGGCCCTCCACTTGAGGTGCCTGAGTGAGGGCAACCTTCTGAATGTGGCTCTCCTGGCCTCTGTCTGACCCATGTTGACCAGAGTTGAATAGCCCAGACACACACACACACACAGCAGGGACACCAGCTCCTGCAGCCATTGACATTTCAGGGTAAGCACACTGCACCAGTGGGTTCCCCTTGGAGACTGGTGCAGTCACAGGAGGCAACATGGGCAGCACCCAGATGGCTGGTGTGTTGGCACAGGAGCAGAGGGAAGACAGGGCAGGTCTCTGAGGGGAGACATAGGGGAGCCAGGTTCTGCCTGGTCTCAGCACTCGAGATGCTGTGGAAGCAAAGTCAGGGCAAGTGGCTGTAGGAGTGAGGCCCCCAGCCTTTGTCACTAGGCATCTGAGAAGGAATGGCAACAGCTCAGGGTCTCGTGGGCAGGGAATCTTGTGGTTTGCAACTTTCTCTGAGTGAAATTTAGGCTTTCAATTGAAAGTTACTCACCTACTAAACTATTTTTCTTCACTCTGACATTCAACTCCCACGTTGTATAGCTTTGCCCCAGGTATGCACCTCTCTTCCTCTCTCATCCCAGTACCCACCTTTTGCCTTCTACCTACACAGACAAATATTGTTCCTAGTACTCAAAGACTCCCTGAACATGGTCTATAGTGACAGCTCAGCTTTCCCTGACTAGAGGCCCCTTGGCATCCTTTGCTGACAGTGGGTCAGCGTCCAAGGCATCTCGCTGGAAACTGACTCTGCCAAGTGGCACCATGCCTCTCAGCATTCTCACCTACAGGAAGGAGACCTCCCTTCTCCAGGAAAGTTCCAGGCACTCCAAGGCCTATGTGGAGGTGACAAGTTCATAATTTATGGGTCCATCACCCCATCAGCCTTCCTTTTGCTGACTCTCCTTGGAAAACCCTCTGTTTCTTTCCTGGCCTTGCACAACTAAACAAAAGCACCTGAGTGAAATGTCTCCCCAGCTAGACCTGAGGAAGCCTGAAGGTCACCAGGAGCACATCCTGCCCAGAGCACTTCTAAGCACAAGCACCAGTGGGGACACAGATTCTGCCATCTCAGTGTATCTGTAAACAGGGTTTTCCCAAGAGAATTCTTGACGTGGCCACAACTAGATTAGCACTTGAACATTTTGGCTGGAGGTGCAAAAGCCATGGTCACAGAACTGTTCTCAACTTGAAATGAATCAAGGCAGTGGACCTAAAGTGTACGAGTGACATTGTACTTGTCCCACCCACCCAGCTGCATGAGAAATGACAGTTTTAGTTAAGAATGTTCAACATAAAGTTGAAAGAATGTCATGCGTTCTTAAATCTTGAACCATGGGAGATGCAGTGCTGAACCTGAACACCCAAGGGCCACACTTGCACATGTCAAATAAATGGTGGGAAGAGTTGATAGGCACAGAGATAGTTCAAAAGTGTTGGGAAAACATACGGGGAAATGGGGTTGATAGCTAAAATGAAAGGAATTTCTTTTTGAGCTGATAGAAGTACTCTATATTTTGTTGTAGTCGTGAAAGAAATGTTTATTGTCGGTATAGTGGCAAAGTCTATGAAAAGGAGAATTCTAATATTTGATGGATGATATGAGTTATGTGAATGTCTTCCTAAAGTGATTTTATAATGATCTACAGCAAAAATAGTGAGATGTTAGCAGGAAATGCCTCAGATGTTTAGCCAGGGTGCCACAGACTGGCCAAGACCCCAGCAAACAGGAGACTCTGATCAGTGCTGGCCAGTGCACAGAGATCAGGAGGAGGTTTTTAAACTGAGTTTCAATAAAGGTGCACCTACCAAAGGGGGCCCACAGGAGCCCAGTCCCTGTGGTCACTGTCAGAAAGCACAGCTTTTCATTAATGGAGGGAGTGAGTCTTGGTGGTTTCAGTTGATGATTTCCTAGTGTGTTATGACTTCTTCCCCTAGAAGTCAGGGCTGGTCCTCTCATCAGGCCACCTACTCAGGAAGACCTTGGCCATGCTGGGGTTTTGTCCATCCCTACTGTCCAGCATCATTCAGGGGAGGAGAAGGAAGCTGTCTTCAAAAGCACTGTTTCCAGGCTTATTTCTAGAAACCTGATTAATGGCACAGAGGCCTGAAGGCTCAAAAGCAGTTCTCTATCCAAATGAGACAGGAGGGCCCAAAGTTCTCAAGAGGTACTTGATAAAACATTGTGTTCTGACTCTGATGGCATGGAATCTGTGTCCTATGAAGAACCATGAAGTTTAATCACACACGACAGACCACAAACAACTTCACTTCCAGTCACTTTGGTGCATGTCTGAACTCACCCCAGTTCTTTATCCCATAAATAGCACTAAACTTTGGCCTCTTTGCAATTTACTTATTCTCCTTTCTAAAACTTTCCCATTTTGTTGATTGACAAACCATGTGGTGTGTAGCCTTCTTTTTTCCTCATTGATTTGTAGGAGAACTTGATTACATTTGGGCCAGCCATACTCAGTATAAGTCAGGTTGGGGTCAGGGTGGGACCAAGGGTCAGAGCACTGTGTCAGCGGGAGGTGGGTCTGTCTTGGGATGCAGTCAGGACCTGCAGCCTGGGTCCCCAGTGAGTTCCCGGTCAGAACTGTAGAGATGGTGGGAGAGGTAGGAAGGCAGGCTTTGTCTTCTTCTCATCAGGACACCTACGCAGGAAGACCATGGCCATGCTGGGGATCAGTGGAATAATACTGTCCATCATCATTCAGGAGAGGAGAAAGAAGCAGTCTAAGAAAAAAATGTTTCCAGGCTTATTTCTAGAAACCTGATTAATTGCACAGGGGCCTGAAGGCTCAAAAGTAGCTCTCTATCCAAATGATACAGGAGGGCCCAAAGTTCTCAAGAGGTACTTGATAAAAAATCGTGTCCCTGTCTGTGATGGCCATGGCTGCCACAAATGCCTCACAGTCACTCGGAGCCTTTTGCTTCCATAGCAGGTCCTCCCCACATGACTCCACCTTGCAGTGGCTCAACATGACTCCACCATTTGGGACCCTTCAGTGGTCCCTAGTGGGGAGTACAAGGAGCCCTTGCCCTAATCATGTCTAAGCAGAAATACTGTGGGTATCTTGGAAGGACACTGTGCATGCCCGAGTTCATGCCTTAATTCCAGTAAGATTTCTTCCCCATCTCCTTATGCAAACAGTTCCTATACCACTTCCCCTTCTGCAGCAGCATGAGTCCTAATGAAGTCTCTTAGGGATGGGTAGAGTTTGTATATTCATGACATTCATCTCAACTGGAGCAGGTCAAGTTGGTTGCACTGAAAACTGACACACCGGGCAGATCAGGCTGAAGGGGGTAAGCACAGAGAGTGACCCAGAGCAGTGGAGAACTACAGGAGCTGCTAGGTGCAGTTGTCAGATGATCTCCAGGGAACTGTTGGAAGAAGCTAGCTACTGATCCCAAGAAGGCAACATGGGAGTTGCTACCACTAGGAGCTGAGAGTCCCTGACATTCAATGTAACACTAAGATCTGAGAGCCACCAGTTAGTCCTCAGACCTCAGAGCTGTGAATACCAAGGGGGATGTGCTTTGCTTCTTTGTGATTTGTCTTCATAGAAGTCCCTTAGATGATTGGTAAGGGAGATATTTAAGGGGCACAGATCGTGGAGGAGGGCACAGATTGTGGAGGGATGCACAGAGATCCCCTAAACCAAGAGAAGCCTTTTCCATGAGGTGATGAATTAGGTTTTGGGATCTTGTCAGTTTTCTCTCAGGATTAGGGGGACGACCGGTCTAAATCTGGAAACAAGACCCAATAGATGGAAACTTGTGCACCCTAGGTCCTGGCAACCCCAGTATCTCACCTCACTTCTCCCTACATGGACATGCACAGACATCATGGCAGAAGGCAGCAGCCAGAGAAGTTTTTTTCCCCTACCAAACTGCCTTTATTCCCACGGACAGTCAAACAAGGTACAGCTTCCCACCCAGGCTTGAACATTGTGACCCTCCCCTCTCAGTGCCCTCCCCCTGCCCTCTTTTTACATTCCCTATACCCTCCCCCTCCCTTCACTTTCCTGAGAACCCGCAGAAACTGCCCTGTGTGAGGAAGAACCTTTGGCCCTTGCGGTGCAAAATGAAGCAAAGGTGAGATCTTGCCTGAGGGGCAGCCACCCCAGAGCCACGGCCTACATGATTATCCTCAGGGCCTCTTCTTCTTCTGGTTGCCTGATGATGTGCACTTCCTCTTCTGAGGCTGTGAGGTTTGAGCCAGCTCCAGATCCACATCTTGCCCTCCAGTGACCTGGAGGGGAGGCCCAGTGCAGGGCATTTTTTCCATGAAGCATGAGCGTCCAGTGAGAGCGCTCTTCATGGTCCTGGCACCTGGAGGAGGGTGGGAGCTGAGGGGTCCCCTCTGGGGAGTTGCGGCCTGAAGTGCTTGGTCTCCTGAGCACAGGGTTTCTATTGGAGGGGCCTGGCTCTGGGACAGTCCCCGGGGCAGCAGGCAGTACTGGGAGCTAAGGAGGAAATCCAGGCTTTGGAGCTCATCGTCCACACTGCAGCCATTGGCTGTCTTATGTGGCCCCCCAGAAGAGTGGCTTTTCTGGGACCCACTACGCCTTTGTTCCCCAGGTTTAAGGAGGAGGATCTGCAATTATGGGGAGGATGGTTGGAGTGGATGGTCCCCAAAGAGGAAGACCCGTGATGGCCTTTGAGGACAGCAGTGTCCTTTGAACCCAGCAACTTTGGCTTGGTGGCCCTGCTCCTCTTCACAACCTGGGAGGCCACCTCTGTGGACCAGTCCCCCATGGTGGCCCCTTGATCAGTGTAATGTTTCCACTTCTCTGCACCTTGGTTGGCAGCTGCCTCAGATGTTCCTGTGTCCTGTTGGGACATACCATGACCTTGAAGCACCTGCAAAGATGCTTCTTCAAAAGCTCAAGGAGGATATGGGCACTTGCCAACTCTTCTTCATGCATGAAATGGGCCACAGGGACTGGGACAATCATATTTCAATGGGAGGTGGAAAGTGGAGCTGTCACTCTTCTTGGTCTCAAAGAAACACACTGAGTCTCTTCTGGCTACCCTCCTAGGCTTCCTTTCTGCTTGATATCCTGAACCTTTCCATGGCTCTGCTATCTACTTCCTTTTTTTCTCCTATCCTGTGTCCTGGAATAGACTCACTCAGGGAGCCATCACAGACAGGATAAGGATAAACAAAGACCCGTGGGCCAATGAGTAAGGTCCTGTGCCTTCCTCGCCTACCTGCTATCCCTTGCTTCCCTCTCCACCTGTGGTCACTCCCTTTCCTGTCTACTTGGTGTGCCTTTGTCTCCTAGACTGCTATGTGTCACTCTCTGCCTTACCCACTTGGTGTCTGTTCCCAAGCCCTGGGAAACCTGTTTTTTCTACCTCATTAGTTAAACCTGGTGCTCCTTTCTCCTTGTCTACCTTTTGTTTCTCCCCAACCCCTGTTGTTCCTGGTGTCCCTGCATTTGTTTATCAGGTGTCCCTGCAACTCTGGTGTACCTCCTATCCACAGTCTACTGGGAGACCCTGCTTCCCCTGTCTGCCTGGTCAGGGGTGGTCCTTCCTGCTGCTCCAGCTCTTTTGTTAGGGCCAAGATATTTATATATGGTTCACAGGAAAGTAATTCTTCCAGGAAGTAGGGATGAATCATATTCCCTGCCTGAGATTAGAAGGAAGAGAGTGTGAGTGACCTTGGGAAGAAATGGCCCCAAGTCAGGAGGACATCTAGGAGAAAGAGGAAGCAATGATGAGCCCATGCTCATCTGTACCATGGGGTTGTTATATCCCAACTAACGGCTATACCCATGTATGAGTGCACATGTGTGCTGCACA